AATACAAACAAGAGAATAAAAGATACAAAAAAAAAAAAAATAATAAAATAAAATAATAAATATATGAGATGGATTCGAAATTAGTGAACAGTCGTAAAATATAATTGCATTATATAATTTTAAATTAATAATAAATAAGTACATACAAAGTATAATACGCGAAAAAAGTACGATTAAAAAATTTGATTTTCTGATAATTCAGAATCAAAGAATTAAAAAGATTAGAGGACTATAACCATATTTTGAGTCATTCTGTTTGAAATTTGATTTAATTTTAAAATGACTGTATATATGTCAGAGCAGTCGTCTCGTCTTTCGAGTCGCCAACACGTCATAATCTGTTGGGAGAAGAATACGGTTAGTAATGGCATAGTAATAATACTTTTGCTAACATTTTTTTGCTTAACCAAGCGACCACAATCAACACATGTATCGTATAAAATCAGATTGGAACGTAGATAGTATCTTTTTTAATCGCTGTTCTAATGTATATTACTTAACATTGAGCTTTCGTCGCTTGGCTAAACTTAGCCACATTCTAAAAGTAACAATCAAATTCATAGCAGCAAACATTCTTATGCATAATATCCGACTTAATTAACCGGAATTTTAACTATCTAACAATTAATTATACGTTATATGACACATAATAAACACATTTTATACGTGAATATGTTTTTCTTTTTTTTCTTTTTCTTTTTTTTTTTCTTTTTCTTTTTCGAAATTGTATAGCGTGTGAAATTTCTCAAAGTATAGTTATAAAAGTCTAGACTGAAAAATATATATTAATATTTATACACATAGCGAAATACGTCCTCACGAAAAATAGGTTTTTACTTTGATACTTGTAGAGAAAAATAGGTCATATCGTATTTAACTCGTATTGAATTGTTTTATACAATGATCACCCGGAAAATATAAAAAGCGAAAATATTTTCAGGAACAAAGAATTGTAATTGCATGTACATTTTCAAGTGTATATAAAATATTTCACGCATCATCGTTGATAAAATAATTCTTATACATATGATACATTGATACTCAATAATCAAAATTAATTTCTGATTATCTCGGAAATATCAATCAATGGTTTTTAAATTTATACTTTATCTGTAAAATATTATTCGCTTATCCGACAAATATATTTGAGCAAACGATAAAATAAATCGATTTGTTTTATTGTTTCGAAATATTAATTGCAACGATTAAATGTGTTGTATTACAAGTCACAAATAATTATTTCGTATAACTTCATTGTAGTTTGTTTCTTCTTTATAAAGATATTTATTTAATATTTTTTTATTTGCATTGATAATAGTGTATATGGATATATAAAATATAGCAAACTAAAAATTCAATAACTCTAAAGCGTGCATGAAGTATTCATTCATCTTTGGACCAAACGTATCTTCAATTCATATGGATGATTTCATTTGTTAGGAAGTAAGCTCAGGGGATTTTTTGATTTACTTGGACATCATCCGTAAAGGAAAAATCAGGCATTCTTAAACATATGATACAATGTCAGAAATATAATATTATCTGGTGGAATAATATTTTTAGAAAAAAAAAAAAAAAAAAGAAAAGAAAAGAAAATAAATCTTTCTCTGAGAAAATATTGAGAAAAATAAAAGAAGGAAATTTCCATTTAAATTTTACGTAAATTTACTTTTTGTACCGGTGAAATTTTTCGCCTTATTACAAAATCGAAAAATTTCACCATACAAATACTTAGTTTTATTCAATTATGTATATAATATATAGTATATATATATATTATGTATGCATGGTGTCATAAAATCATAAATGTAAACTAAGCAGGATTATCTCAATCGATGAAGTAATGTTACATTTTTTTCTTTCTTTTGTTTCGTTCCTAATCATAACATAATCGTAGGACATAAAAGTGAACAACAATATGATAAAACTTTCTTTAAATACTTTCAGTGCTTAATACCTATCACGATTCTGAACGATAAAACTAGCAATCCTAATACTGTATATGGGATGAAGGAGGACATTAAAATACTGCAATGTTAGCTTACTGAGACATTCGATGCTGTAATAATAGCACTATGTCATTGTTTTTCGTGCTTTTTAACACTTCGTGCAAGTTATATCGTAAAAGTACTGGCATTAGTTACTGAAAGAGTAACAGTTCTTACAGCTAAAATTGTTTTATAATCACACTGTTGCCTGTATCTGTCCACGACCTTATTACAGTTTCAATGCAGAACATAGCGATATTTTTATCGATAATAGTAATAGCCTCTGAATATCCCATTCGATGAAATCCGCTACAGATGTTTTAAATCGTGGCGGATTTCGACAGTGTCTCTGAAAAAAATTAATTAAGCTTCAGCGGCCTGCACCGAGAGATCAGTCACTGACGAGCAACAAGCTGACAATAGAGAGAAAAATATTAAGAAAAAAATAACAAAAGAAAATTACAATTTTTACAACAAGTAATTATTATCACAGCTAAATTCGCGAAGAAAATACGTTCTTTTTTTTTTCTTTTTTTTTTTTAAATTAACACTCTATAATTTTGCTTTGCAAAAATAATCGTATGTATATTACTATACTAATTTAATATCAAGCATTCATTATTAATTACAACTATGAAAAAAAAAATATAATATGCTAGTATATTTTTCTAAAAAAAAAAAAAAAAGAAAAAGCAATTATTATTATTATATTAGATTAAGCAATGCTCTGAAATATAAATGAAGCAATATTTACTAGATTACTGATAGAATAAGATTGCTACAAGATTACAACAGCGTTGCTACTAGTCAATTAAGAAGCCACATGCGTGTCAATGTGTTCATGAAGTTCCCTGTTTAACTACCTATTATCACAATATCATTTCGAATTTTATTCATTTTTATTCAATCATTATTTTTATCATTGTTTACACGTGTTCTATTCGATTCATTCTATTCATTCAATCTACATTCATTGTTTCTTCTCATTTCTAAATTAGTTCTACGAGTTATTACTAACTTTCTTTTTCTTTTGTCTAAATCTAAAGTGTATTAATAATAATAATAAAATAAAATAAAAAAAAATGGGAAAAAGAATTACTTATTTTTAGAAAAATAGCATAATACTTACTTATCCGGCAAAACACGAGGTTTGGCATAGTCTCCTGGCCAGTCATAAACGTTTGGCAGTGGACTGTCGTAGTTCGCATCATACATTTTACTTACAATAAATTCCCGTTTGTCCTTCGGCTCTGGATATTCACTTGCCAACCCAGCTAAAAAATAAGATATATCGAACGTATATACGTACATAAAGGTATTAAAATATTTTTGAAAATTACAAAAAAATTGTGATATAAAGTCAAATCAAGTTCTTACTTTTAGCGTAAGCGTACTCGGCAATTCGAACGGCGATGTCGATCGAGCATTCACGAATAGTGCCTAATGGTGGATAAACACTACCAACTTCGAGATGCTCGTCTTTCACGTGATCAGCAACAGCCTGAGCTGAAAGAAGGAATAGATCTTCGGTGATATGATGGCATCCAGTTGCGATGACGCCCAATGCGATTCCAGGAAAAATGTACGCGTTGTTTCCTTGACCCGGCTTGTAAATTTTTCCTCCGTAATGTACATCGCCGAATGGGGAACCCGATGAAAAGATACATCTTCCCTGTGAAATATGATTAAAGGATTATGAGGTCAGTTTCTTCGATTGACGATCTTGACGGACATCGATATCTTTTTTTACATTTGTGTGATCGTAAGCTTGTTGAGCCGTGCACTCTGCCTTGCTGGTCGGGTTACTTAACGCAAAAATTAAAGGCCTTTCGTTGTTTTTGGCCATCTCTTTCAACACTTCGGGAGTGAATGCTCCTGCTGCTGCTGACGCACCTATAAAAATATATTTCTCGTATATTCAGGAATCTAGAAATTCCATACATGATAATGTCGAATAAATAAATAATTTTACGCACCGATCAAAACGGATGGTTTTATTTCTTTTACGACCTCCAACAGCGATTTCATCACTTTATATTGTTTCGCGTACCAGATCTTATGACCTTCCAGGTTACCTTCAGGCCGATCTTTCACCAGCAATCCATCGATATCCATCATCCAAATGTTATCGCGTGCTTGCTGCGTGGTACAACCGTCTACTTCCATCGCTTTCACGCAAAGATTGGCTATCCCAATGGCCGCCTGTTTTAAAATTAAACAGTAAAATAAAATTTAAAGGCAAAAACATAAGAACAAAGAGGTTTTGCAAAAATAGTAACTTATGATACCTCGCCGGCGCCTAAAAATACGAACTTGTTTTCGGATATTTTTTTCTTAGTTATTCTTTTCGATGCTAAAATTCCAGCAACCGCGACTGCAGCAGTGCCTTGTATATCATCGTTAAACGTGCAATATTTGTCGCGATATTTATCTAAGAACGGAAAGCGTTGTGATTTCCAAAATCTTCGAACTGGAACGATACAACGAGTAAGTAAATAAGATATTTATGATAATAATAATGAGGAAAAAAAAAAAAAAAAGGAAATCAATAAATATAATAGAAAAACGTACTTGAATGAGAACATTTTGACCGTATTTTTTCACACAAGCGGCCATAAATTCATCGATCAATTCATCGTATTCCGCGCCATGGCTCCTCGGCTTGTTAAGACCGATGTAATGAGGATCATTTCTCAACTGTTCATTGTTCGTGCCAACATCAATCGTAATTGGAAGGCATTGATGCGGTTTTATACCGGCGAGCGCGGTATAAAGAGCTAATTTCCCTACCGGAATTCCCATTCCGCATGCTCCAAGATCACCGAGACCGAGGATTCTTTCTCCATCTGTTACGCAAATCGCTCGAACCGCTTGCTCGGGCCTACATCGTCGAAAATATACAAATATAATAATATTTCACGTTACTCGTGCTATGATTATTGTTAAATGAACGTACGTATATGTATATATATATATATATATATATGCATGTACTATTTGTATAAAACGTGTATTTCTATTCTCTTTGACAAGTCATTCTACATTTTTTTTTTTTTTTTTTATGAATAATCAGAACACGCGTTATATTATATCACGAAATCAACTCGTGTAATCGTGATCGCAATCGATACTTTTGAACTTTTTCTTTGAAAGAATTTAATTGCACGACAAGATAAATTTTTTAAAAGATAAATTTTACTGCATTTTTATGAAAATACGAACCAGTTGTTTAAGATTTCATAAATATGACCTTTATCATATATCGTAATAAATAATCCACGGGGTCTGCGATAGATAACACCAAACTTTTGACAGGCTAATCCAACGGTAGGGGTATAAACAATTGGCATCATTTGCTCGATGTTCTCGCTCAATAGACGGAAAAATAATCTCTCGTTTCTTTCCTACGGAATATAAACCGAAAATGATGTAAAATAATTAAGCGAAACTTTTGCACGCCACTACTTACACGATTTGAATTGTATATATATGCATTGTTATTTTTTTTTTTTTTTTTTTACACCATAGAATTCTTTTTTATTCTACCTGCAGTTCTACGAGATAAAGATAACGGTTTAAATCCTCTGTGTACTTCATAACTGAAGCTTTGCACAGAGCCAATTGCTCTTCCTGAGTTTTGAATCTTGGAGGCTGTAAACCATGTATACCCAAAGATATTCTTTCTTTCAAAGTAAATGCCAAACCCTATAGAAGATAATTATGTGATAATGAGGTGTTATTTCCTTCATAGTTTTAATATCTAATATTTTCAAAAAAGAAAAAAAAAGAAGAAAAAAAAGTCGCGTTATTTGTATTAAAAAAAGATAATAAACGATAAGTTTTAAAGTTTTAAAAAGATTTTATTTCGGAAGAACGAGAGTTAATTAAAATTAATTAAAACAGAGTAATAATTAATCGCTTGAACTCACTAAAATTAATCACTAGAGATCACAAACAGTACAAGGTAAATAAAAAGTCGGGAGATAAGAATTCAAGAATAAAATTATATTTTTAACACAATTTACGATAACATTGAATACATCTATCATAAAGTAAACAAAATTTCTTCCATTCTTATTCGCAAAGATATCTTTTCACGGATCACGATACCGACTAATAAAGATTAAAATACCTTATTGAGCCGAGGATCCCTTAAATGGCCGATACCTTTCACCATATTGATAGGTATCACATCGCCAGATACTTCGTGAATCTCTTTCTGTTGAATATCCTTTACAGCAGGATGCGTAGGAGGAAGCATACGTGCCCATGATCCTGTACAACTTCTGCTGCTGGGCGATCTGTGAGAAGATAAAACCATTACCCGCTTCTCATTTTCATTATCAGAACAGAAATTTTCTGTCGCGGACGAGCGAACGAGACGAAACGAACGAAGAGCTTGGTTTGCCGTCCAGAATTATTTCTACAAAAAAAAAAAAAATTTCATTGAACTTGAAAGATTCAAAAAAAAAAAAAATAAAACGATAACCAGTTATCCCGTACAACTAATCCAATAATACTCTCGAAGAGAAAAATATTTGAAATTTAATTTGTGGTATTTGTGCTCTTTCTATAAAAATAGCCAACTAACGTCCAGTTGCGACAACTTTTAACAGAAATGTGTGCCAATTAACACGTTCGAGCAAATTAATTATTTGAGGGGAAGTTTAACGTGTGTGAGAAAACAAGTTAAAATTGCCTGTTTTCCCTCGATATACGCGATTAACGTCGTTCAGAAAATTCCCATACGAATTAGCATACGTGTAATTTATCCGGTCAAACTTTATCGACATCGTGTTCCCCGATAAAAACACTTGTTGCAACAGAATTGATCTAGCTCCTAGAATTGGTGGTACGAGAAACGATGAGAATGAGGACGAGTTAGATTGCCAAATAATTTATACACGCCAAACAAAGTGGTAATAAATCAACGAGCAACTGTATTCCTCGGTCCTTCTTCTCTCTACAAATATAGATTTTGATAATCGATATTAGAAATTGCCTGACATTCTCTTTTTATGGAGCACACGAGCACGGACACGTTCTTGCAAATCGGAATAGATATGAAGAACTTGAGAATGTCAAAGTGAAGTGTTTTTTTATCGATTAAGGACGCGTTGAAAGCATTGCAACTAGAGAAATCGAATAGAATGTCGAGAACGTGATACCCTGACATTTGATGATATATTCATTAGAATATATGAAGTATATTCAAGGTGTTCGTAACAACAGTTCTTCGTAGTGACCGCGTAATAATCTTTTCGTTGCTTCCGGTGATCCACAAATGTTCTACGCATATTGTAAAAGCTGTTCAAATACAATCGATAATTTGTAGCGTTATAATCTTTACATGAAAAAAAAAATTAGATTGTACAAAACTCGATATGCTATATAGTAAGCACATCCAAGTATAAATTAGAATTTATATAGTTAAAAATTCAACATGATTTTCTGATTAACGAGTATAATAATTTAAATTATCGCGTTATACGAATGGTAGAATTTCAGGAAAAGGCAATCAGATCCGTTTAATTGTGAATTTGTCATTTAACTATGAGTCATGACTCATATCAATAACTCTTTGCAATAAAATTTTATCTGGTTTAATCTGGTTAAGTTAAACTATGGAATTAAACGCGAATCGATTAAACAGATAAAGTCGAAATGCTCGAGTTTCTTGAGCAATCTTAATGTCCAATAACATTTCCATGTCCAATTACATATAAAGTAGGTGCATATCGATCTGATGGATATCTTCAAATATGTAGCAAAGCGAGTTATTGCATTTCTGTAAAGAGAACAGGTTAATCTATTATTATTTCAATGGCGTTTGGCCAAGTTTAGAGAAATATATATTATGGAAAATATTTTGGTGGAGGCGGCGATGCCCTGAGAGAATATTGTTTCCACCATTAGTGTTAATGAGAAATTTTTTTAATCGTTATATTTTCTTATATTAAATAAACATTATCGATTTTCTATCAAGGAAATAATATCTTCCAGTTCTGATAATTTATAAATTCACTTTTAATATGATAATAATTTTTCACATCGAAAGCGTAACGTAACAATCTTGTTGTTCTCCTCGGAACTCTCTTCTTTATGCAATTCATTTACGGCATCAGTCTATCTGCAGTCACTGATGGCCTTGATCATTACGGTTTCCTCGTCATCGACTGGGTGCAGTACTACTAACGTGACAATAATAATGTCACTTTCCTGTGTAAAGTACATGTGTTTGCAAAGATTATTCGCTTTTAATATCGATACAAATATCAATATGATTATGAAACATCATAATTATGTTGCAGCCTTTGCATAAATAATTGGACGTATGCGTGTAATGCAATTTACAGATATGAAGTAAATTATTTCTATAAATTTCTTGTACAAATTAAAATCAAACATTTCACATTTGTTAAATTTAACGTTGAGATGATAATTATACAAATTTCCATCATGAATATATCAATATTGAGTTGTAAAAGTGTTAATTTTAAAAGAATAAATAAATGAATCAAAATTATCGAAATAAATGTTAATACTCTACGCTAAGAGATAATAAATTTTATAATTTTAAATATATCGAACATTTACTTTTGTTGTTATTTCTTGAAAAATAACTATGACAGATGGTAAATTATTTATACGTAAATCTTTGTATTTTTATCCTATTATTCCTTATCGATGTGAAATAACTTGTTTAAATAAATTTTACGAAAATATCCAAAAATAAATTGCATTCTCTCAAAACTATTGTATAGATATCTTATATAAGATAGTCGATTTAATGTATTACGTAAAGTACCAATATAACTTTGCCGGTATGGAATGACATAATCATAAAATATGATAACTGTCGCAATTTTTATAGATTTTAGATAATAATAATATAATATAATAACGTAGACTGTAATAATCATAATAAAAAAATTCTTCTATATAATTTTGTGTATAAAACTTTATTTATAAGTGTAAAGCAAAATATTTAAAAATTTAATAATAAGAATCAAAGTATATAATAGGAAAGAAAATGGATTATTTATTAGATATTTTGAAATTACAGATATATAAAGTATATTCTTCTTTAATAATATGAGTATAACTTCTTGATGAGATAACTTGTATACATAAATTTTATAATTTTTTATTTTTAAAACTTATAAATTAAATGTTTAAATTTTATTATTTTATTTTGTAGACATTTATAATTATATTTAGAAATCATTAGTATTTAAAAATAGAATATTTAACATAGATGTAAAAAACGAAAACAAAAATTGTTATTTTGTATTTATAGATCACCTTCAAAGTTTACTCTTCACATCTATTTAAACTCCTCCTGATCTGTTTTAACCTTGAATTACTTAAAGGTAATTCACATGTATGAAGTTGTTTTTTTTTTTTTTTTTTTAGTAGAAAAATAACATGTTACGAGCAACGAAGCAAAATATAGACTTAAAATAGTTTAAAAAAAAAAAATAAAATAAATTCTATTATATTCGAACATTTTCCTTCAAATTAGAATGATAACAATAATTCTATATAGTATTTTTTCTTTTTTTCCTTCGTTCATAATAAAATATGTGAAATAAAGTAATTTTATATAATATATTTTTCAAATAAATAATAACATATATTTGTTTTTATTTTTTTGAATATTTTTGTTCAGATATAGTAAAAATCAATAAATACGGACGGAAGATTGATCGAAACACAAAAGCGAAATATGAGGGCGTTCAACTCAACATTTGTCACTGTATTTCCACGAAAACAAAATATTTCAAGAATTCCTTGAAAAATGTTAGATATTTACGAGATATAAAAATAAATCAATGCGATCCGTATATTTATTTGAGAAAAAAATGAATATAACTAAATAATATAATCAATTTCAGAACATATATTTCCACACGTGCTACGATCGATCGAAAACTTCGTTAAAACGACAGGTGCGCCAAAAGGAATCAAATGGACGAAATATATTTCATGGTAAAAAATATGTAATTCATTTACAGATAATGTTTAAAATATATGAAATAAGCATAAATATTATGTTTAAAAAATACATATAATAATTTTCATTGAAAGCGAGTTTTCTTTTTTCCGAATTTTTTCCCGAATAACTGTTTGTGAGTCAGCACGTCTACGGGTCGACGCTCTGAGAAAAAGAAAGGACGAAACAGGATAAAGTAGAGGGGATGAAACATACTAGTCCTTACAGACATCGCATGATACCTGTAAAAACTTTACTGGAAACTGAATACTATCGAATGAAGGATACGCGGAAAAAACGAAAAGATAGATAGAAAGAGCAACACGAATTAGGAAAATATTAAAGTTTATGTAAACGTGAACACGATATGATTTCGTTTGGCACTGGCTCACAGAACACGGTAACGTGGCCTCGTATCGATCGACGGATTCTCAAGCGCGTTCCTATTTTCAGCACTGCATTGCGGCAGAAGCTAGGTTACAACGGCCCTTCTCGCGTATTTCGCTGGCTCTGTCCGCCTCTCTCGACAATCTGAACCGGCACACGTGCGTGCTCTGCTCGTGCAGTAAAAGCCAGTATGTCTTTAATCACAAATCGTTGCTTTGTGTATATGGTTTGTATAAAAATTTTCTAGTACTCACAATATAGACCTCTGCAGGACGAACATCTCGCTCCTCGCGTGCTTACAGCTGATCGCCTCCCACCCAACAGGATCAACGCGCGACTGCGCGTTTTTGGCTAATCGTGCTTACCAATGCTGACCCGTTTACCCGCGCTCGCCGCCGCCGCTCTGTCTACTCTCGCACACCTTTTTCTCTTTCGACTTCAAGTTCGTCCATATAGCCGGTTACGCATACGCACAACTGATTCCTTTACACAATACACCGTACTGCACACGCGCGCGATCCATACATTAAAGTTGTACTGTATATACGTCGATCGCGTACTTCTCTTCCTTGCCAACCTTGTGTTTGTTCCTGCACTGTGTCAGATGTTGGCTGTACGAGCGATCGAGTGTGAGTGAATGGATGTGAGGAAACGCTGTGCCTGTGTCCGATGAACCACTCGCGGGAATAGCCGAATTCTCCCGACCAGGGGCTCGTTTATATGTTCCCTGATAACATATCGGAACGTTGCGATTCTAAAAGTCAAGAGAATTAATATTTTTTTATGTATTGAATCAATTAACTTCCAATCGTATAAAGAGAAT